CTGATTGGCTAGGATATAGGCTTGGGGACTTTCCATTTCCCAGCATTCTGGGAGAAAGGAACATAGCAGTGTATTGTGTTTTTGTTTAAGTAGAATATATATCATTAATTCAAGCATTCTATATGTATCGAATGTAAGTAAAAGTCTATTCAAATTCTCAGGCAGATTGAGCCTGAGAACCTGACTTAATTTCACCTTATGATCAAAATGGAGACAAAAATAAAATGGTTTCTGTTATGCTTAAGATGAAAGCAGGTGTTAAGAGAGGAGCCATAGTTATGCTGAGAACTAAAGTAGGTCTCAACAGAGGGGATGTAGTTATGCAAAAAAGTTTAAGCAGGTTATAAACAAATTAAGTATATATATCATTGGCACACAGGAACATTATGATAAGAAAACAAAAGTATTGAAAAATATCTAGATCCTACAGCCAGACATTATGCTGAATCTAAATTGGAGATCTCCATCAAATCCCTCCCCTCAGAGCTAATGGGATCCCAAGGAAGAGGAGAAGGAAAAACAGGATGATGAGGGGTTAAGAATGCAGAAAGGGCCACTGGCCAGTATGGTTTAAATAATGCCAAGGTCTAGGGATTTTCAGACATATGATGCACTGAACATAATGGAGACAGAGGCCATGGGGAAGATTAAATCAAGGAATCAGGAAAATAGAATATTAAAAAGGTTGTCCAGAGAGATGTTGAATCCAGCAATACAGCGGCCCAGACAGAGAGTATACAGAGCATCATTCTGGTGCTGTATCAGCCCTGTTTTATTGTAGCGTCCCTGGCTGATGAAAGCTTTTTCACCACCTCAAGATAAGCTCTACCCCAGGCTGATTGTCAGATAGATACTCAACCTGTTACAGCAATCACCGTTTTACAAATTATATCAAATTGCTTCTGTCAACTTAATACATGAATGGAGAAGGAAGCTACCATGTTAACTGTATATGTAACTGTAAATGTATACTTGAGCTACGTAGCTCAAAAGAGCACATGATGCCTGGAGAGACAGTTCTGTGGTGAAGAGTACTTACTACTCTTCCACAGAATCCAGGTTTTGTTCCTAGCATCCACATCCAGCAGCTGACAGCCAACTGTAACTCTTATTCCAGGGGATCCCATGTCTCTGGCCTCCCTGGACACCTGTACTTAAACACACATACCCATATTCTCTCCCTCACAATCATACATATATGTAATTAACATAAATACATGTTAAAAAATAACACTCACATAGGCTAGCTACAGCCTCATGTGGAGGACTTAAGTGACATCTGTATTGGAATCTAAGATAAACCCATATATAGAGATGCTTTTGAAACAATGTCTATGCTGCTTAGCTTGGTCTTTTTTACTCTAAGCTCAAATGATGTGCCTGTGTTGGTCTCTTGTATGTCTGGGACTACAATTACAGTTTATTGTAACTCACTGACAGAGAAACCATTTATTGAAGAACGCAGGTGGTTACATTTGTGTCTGCTTCCTGTATTTGCTATACATAGGGAGTACAATCTAGGGTCTGCAATTAAGCTTGGTTTTGTTTTGTTTTAATAATCAACTTAAGAGGAGTATCTATCGTGTGCCACATGACACAGCTAATTATACTATATAATTGTGACTAAAAATGCCACACAGAGTATGTTCTAGTGATTTAAGATAGTTGTCATCACCATATCCCTCTCTTCTTTTTGTGAGAGTCAGTAGTGGTAAATTCTGCAATCCTTGCCTATCAGCATCATTTCATGAGGATGCCCACAGTCTCTAGCCTCCTCATTTCTCTAGCCCTTAAGTACTTTTTTGGAAAGGTGGTTAATACCTTGTTTGGATAAGTAAGTGAAGATATTTCGACAAAAGCAATTACAAGCTAATACAAGCTGATTCCCCCTTTTTTTCCCCCTCCCACCATCACTAATTCCTCTGGCTTTTGTCTATTCTTACTATTATCTGCAATTATATTCCCTTCTGTTTTAAAAAACTAGATTGAAGTGCTATGGTCCTGTTTCTTAGGTTTTAGCAAAACACACTTTTGGCTTTTGTTTATCCTGTTGGTGCTGTAGTCACTCACATGTAAACAGCCTCTTCTGTAGAAATACGCGGTGGAAAATTCCTTTTGACAAACCATAGCAAGCTTAATTGAGTCATGATGTATTCTATTAAATGGCTTCCAATGAGGCAAACAGTCCTTCCCCTGAGGTAGACAATACTATCCTAGGGTTTCAACATGACTGTGTGGTCTTACTTGTCTAAGGAGATGGATTTCTTCAGTTATAAAGAGTTACAGAGAAGTATGGAGTTAGTATTAGTTATCGAATTAAATTTTAAAGAGGTACACGTTCTACTAAGCTTTAATTTTCCTTGGATTTAATGAAACCCACTTTAAATTAAAAAAAAAAGTTAGCACTGGATTTATAGGTCCATTTTTACATGTTATGTTTTACTTGTTTGCTTAATGAGTTCCTTATGAGACTCCCAAATCAAGTCTAAGTTTATATTGTATTATAAAATGTTACTTGTCATGTTAGCAGAAACTATTCTGTCAAGACAGTATTTCTGATTCTCTGCCACAGATTTTGCAGCCTGAAGCCATTTCAAATCCTGACATTCCACTTAATGTTTTCAGAACAGAAAGTGTTAGGGCTCTCAGCACTACTAGACTATCAGCATACAGTATTTAACTTGTGAGCCTCCATTCGACTCTTTGGTAGGTGCCCCTGGATAGGGTGATATTATAAGTACCACTGTCAGCCTGTAGAGGAACATCAGGAATGGGCTTCATCCTTGCTTCCAACCCCAGTGCAGCAATAAGCCAGGAAAGGGAGACTGTAAACCATTGATTTGAACCATATAAACGAGCTGAAAATAAATTGTGCTATCTGCTCTATTTGTCCCTAAAGCCGAATTTACCTAACACATGATACAAGTAGTCCCATTCAATTGCATCAAAGGATTTCTTGGCATGTAATACAATTGTTACTATTTGTTCCGATTTTCTCTTGTATTTAGATGACTTGCATTAGCCTATGCAGATGACCTCATGCTCTCACCAGGAATACAGGCCTCTTGAATAAAGGGCTATTAGGCCTTGATTATTTATTCATGTACCGTATATTCAGGTAGCCGTTATTTTATATCTACCTACGCTATATGAAAGCATATTTTTCACAGTACCACTAAGGGAATAATATGTAATTTAAGTATAAGGCTAAAAGGATATATGTAATAGGATAAAGAACAGTAGGCCACCTTGACGCCAAACCACAAATGGTATCTTATACTTTAAAAATTTAGTACAAACCATTTAAATGCATTACATTTGTTCTTAGTCTATTTGTGAAACTAGTGGCTGCTCAGTGCGCTAATGGCAGGGAGAAGGTAATGTGTTGGTAGGTAACCTAAATTTTTATGAAGCTGTTTTGAAAGTGACTGCATGCCACAGAAAGCAGCATCAATTATTTTTCAGTTTTCATTTGACATTGCAAGGCTGCCCAAATTTCTGTCCTTCAGCTCACCACCTGTGTGGAGAGGGAGGCATAACATACTTCTAAGAGAGATACCTTAGTATTACAATCACAAGACACACTTCCTCAGAAAAGGACTGAAATAATTCTTTTTTAAAATTTATTTGTTTACTTATTACAATTTATTTACTTTGTATCCAGGCTGTAGCCTTACCCCCTTCCCCCATCATCTCCCAGTCCCACCCATCCACTCTCTTCTCCCCCTATGTCCCTCCAATAGTCCAACTGATAGGGGAGGACCTCTTCCTCCTATCTCACCATAGCCTATCAGGTCTCATCAGGACTGTCTGTATCCCCTTTCTCTGTAGCCTAGTTAGGCCACCTTCCAAGGGGGAAGTGATCAAAGAGTTGGCTACTGAGTCCATGTCAGAGACAGCCCCTGCTCCACTTACTAGGGAACCCATATGGAGACTGAACTGCCCATAGGCTATATCTGAGCAGGGGGTCGAGGTCTTCTCCACGCTAAGTCCTTGGTTGATTCATCAGTCTCTGCAGGACCTTCTGAGCTCAGATTTTTTTGGCTTTGTTGGTCTCCTTGTGGAGCTCCTGCCCCTCCATGTCTTTCTATATCCCCTTTTTTTCCCAAAAGATTTCCTGTACTCTGCCCAATGGCTTTTCTTTCCCAAGTACTGGTGAAGCCTTTGATGCTCTGAGAATAGGGAATTGTGCATAAGTGGGAAACTGAATAGTGGATAACAGGTGTAAAGGCAGCCCAGCCGCTAATCTTGAAGCTCTTACAATCCATTTTGGGTGAGACAGCACAGTGACAGGAGGAGGGCCTGGCAATGGAGCCAGCTCTCATCTGGGTTCCCGGTATGTAATGAACAGATTAATGAACAGAACAAACAAATGCTATTGTTGATCAGTGGAATTTTATGCTCCCATAGTTGATTTTTTAAGTTAATTTTGGGCTAATGGCTGAGTAGTTAACAGCACTTGTTGCTTTTGCAGAAGACTAGGGTTCAATCCCCACATGGTGGTTCACAACTATCTACATCTCTAGTTCTAGGGGATCTGAAGCCCTTTTCTGACTTCCTCAGGCAATAGGTATGCACTTGATACACTGACATACATGTAGGCAAGACATTCATGCACATAAAATAGGATAAAAATAATTTGTTTAAATGTAAAAAGCTAATTTCTATGCTTTGTAAATTTCTCTCTCACTCTAGCTTTCCCTCCTTCCCTTTGTCCTCCTCCCTAGTTCTTTCTTAAAGAGGGTGTTACTAGGCAGCCCAGGCTGGACCTGAATTTATAATCCTTCTGCCTCAGTCTCCCAAATGCTGGGATTATAGGCATGAGCTGCCATGTATACTAGTATATTTTTTTTTCCTTAAAACATTTGGAAATATATGTTTGGATATAAGTGTATCAATTTCTAAATTAAAAAAAATCATGATTGAAAATTGACTCAAAAATCCTAAGCGCATATATATATATATATATATATATATATATATATATATATATGCACACACAAAACTCATGAGATATGACTAAATAGAGAGAGCCATTCAGTGAATGGTTTAGGGTCTTGGTAACGGGTAATTGACTCTCATTAGACAACTTCCTCTTCTACATTAATATGTGACATCACACTCTCATATAACATTTTATAACCAAGTGAAATAAAAAGCCCCTCCAGATTGCAACTGTAAGATAATCAGATTCTGTAGTACTCATTATGACTGCAATTATGTAAGAAAACACTCCAAATATAGTTCAGTTATTGCCGTTATTAATCATTCTGGGTTTGCTTCAAGTGCTTGCTTTATAGCCTGCTGGATAGATTCCATTATTCTACAAGCTGAATGTCGAAAGTCAAACCCGTGCATATGAATCTGCTGTTCTAAAGGCCTTTCAACATAATTTACCCTTTCAATTTCTATTTGTGAATAAAAGAAAATGGGGAGAAATAAAGCTGGTGTCAATAGAGTCACTGACCTTTGCAGTAAACAGAAGACAGTCCTTAACACAAAACAACTTTGCAAATAAGAAACTTATTTTGCTAGAACTAGAAAGTTGTGCTGCTTAAGAAGTTAGCCTTGGTGTACCAATTGTTTTCACAAAAAGTATCTACACATTTGATGAGGAAATGGTTAAGAGGATTGGCAAATACACATTTTTGAAGGATAAAACACCCATGTTTTAGAATACAGTCTTAAACATTTTATGCTCAGATCCATGTATTCTAGTTAACTATAAAATCCCAATTAAAAAAACAAAAATTTATTATACACAAACGATACCATATGTCCCACTTTAAATCATTACTATAGATAAGTTTGGTGGAACAAAATTATACCTGAAAATTTCTTAAGCCTAATCTTTGAGGCTGAAGTACTAACTAAAGAGGATTCTAAATGGTCCTAGGGAAAGTGACTGTAAGTATTTACATACTAACATGTGGTAAGCTCAGAAAATATACATATAATAACATATCAACACGGCTTACAAAATTCATGGTGCCATTTTCCTATACTCATGATTTTTTTTGTTTTTTCAGTTTGGCTATATACATTGGGCCCCAAGCTTTGCCCTTTTCAGGAATCACCAAAAGGCTGCATTTCTGGTTACTGGGAGCAAATGTGAAGTCTTGGGAGCAAGTTCTTGCTATCCCGCTAATATCCACAGGCATGATGTTACTGTCAGAACTTAAGACTTCACTGATCACGTCTTGATTTTCAGCCTTGGAAAGTGTGCATGTGGAGTACACAAGTAGCCCTCCAGGACGTAACGCTTTAATTGCAGACCTGTGTGTAATGGAAAAATGAAGAGATGAGTTAGGTACAAAAAGTAACATAGGGGATCCAAGTCAAGAAGATTACATACGAGCTTTACTCTGGCTCAGGATGCAGTAACTCTGGTGATTCTCTGATCCTACACATAGTTCGTTTGCATTTATCACTGATGACTAGGACATAGTAACCAGATAAATCAAGATGAAAAAGTCAGGAAAAGTGAGTTTGGTTAATGATTTGTTCTTTTAAGGGTAGGGAAAAGGAGAAAGAATTCGGGTAATGTGTTTGTCTTGTAAGCCATGAAAATAAAACAGAAATCAAAGACAGTAGCTGGAAACAGACATACTAAAGCACCGATCATAGTCTACATACTCTATGTTGGGCTATCAGGTGAAAATCAGAAGGTATTACCTAAGAAAGAGGAATAAGTAGTTTGTGGAGATATAAGCGAGTGTGGGCCATTCCTCAAACCAAAGACCTTGCATACTACTTTAAAGGGATCCTCTAGAGCAGTGGTTCTCAACATTCCTACTGCTGCAACCCTTTAATAGAGTTCCTCATATTGTGGTGACCCCAATTACAAATTATTTTCACTGCTACTTCATAACTGTAATTCTGCTACTGCTATGAATCAAAATGTAAATATTTTTGGAGACAGAGGTTTGTCAAAGGGTCATGACCCATAGGTTGAAAAACCACTGCTCTATATTAAGAGCCAGCTTAACATAGTGTGATATCAGCAGGAAAAAGCTCCCACCTTTATAATAAGCCTCCTGCCCATTGTTGTATTATTACAGACTAAAACAGTATGACCAAGGAGTCCCAAGAAATAAGTAATCAATACATAAGAAAAAGAACACAAATAGCAAAAATGTGGCCTAGGAATTAAGTGACAATGTAAGTCAGGAAACAAAATATGACACCATTACCACAAAAAGATCAGCAAAGATAGACCACTCATAAAATAGCAACATCCTAAGAAAACAACAAGACAGCTCATAGAAATTTAATATATGTTTATCAAAATAAAGAATAGTCTGTAAAGCACTGTAAAGTTAAAGGTCAACATATCCAATCCCCTTCAAAATAGAACAACAGATAGACTCAAAATGAAATCAATCAAAGTTGTCCAAAATTCAATTAACAGAACTGGAAAAATAATGCAAAGAATTTTTTTGACAACAGGGGTTGAATTAATATAATAGAAGATAACTTTCCAGAAATGCGAAAAGACATGACTCTTTAGTTGGAAGGAACATATCAAGAGGCTACCACATTCATTATTATTCATGTAATACCTAAGATATACTAGGTATTGTCTAGGTATTGGACATGTATCACTGAATAAAGCAAAACAACATAAACACTAACAATTTAAGACACCTCCTACCTGGTGTGATGTCTTACACATCTAAATTTAGCACTGGAAAGTCTGAGGAAAGAGAATTGCTATGAGTTTGAGGCCAGCCTTGGCTACATAGTGAATACCAGTGCAGCCAGGCTTACACAGATAGGCTGACCTGTCTCAAAATTCCCCAAGGAAAAGCACACTATATCCAATACCAAGTGCTCAGCCCTGAAAACATACATATACAAGTAACACTGTATAGGCTGAGCAGGTTGTATTTTCAAATTTAGGGACATACAAATATGTAAGAACAACTAATAAAAAAGAGGCCATGTGTTTGAAAGAGCAAGACGGGCTATGTGAGAGGAAGGAAAGGGAAGGGGAGGGAAAATGAGGTCATTATATTAGTCTCTTTTTTTCTTTATTCATTTTTAATATAATTTTTAATTTATTACAATTTATTCACTTTGTATCCCATCTGTAGCATCATCCTCATCCCCTCCCAATCCCGCCCTCTCTCCCTCCCTCATCTCCTCCCATGCCCCTTCCCCAACCCACTGATAGTGGAGGACCTCCTCCCCTTCCTTCTAACCTTAGCCTATCAGGAGTAGGACTGTCTTTCAGAGTCTTCCTCTGTGGCCTGGTAAGGCTGCTTCCCACTCAGGGGGAGGTGATCAAAGAGCCAGCCACTGAGTTCACGTCAGAGACAGCCCCTGTTCCCCTTACTCTCAAAATAATTTTAAAAAATCTCCTCCATTCATGAAGAAGAGTGGAGGGAGGGGAAATTACAGTTGGGATATAATGTATGAGAGTAGAATTTTGAAAAATTATCAAAAATAATAAATCCAGAGACCTAACAACAACATGCCTTTATTTTCACAAATACCACATTCTCACAGTTATCTCAGGGAGACTAACTATGGAAACACAAATATACCAGTGTATGATATGAGTCTCTTAAACAATGCTATGTAAACACACATTGTCTCTGCATGGAACTGAATTTGGAAAGGGGCTCCTTTATGAGTTAATTGAGCTGAAACCCAATCATTGGAGAGTGTACACTAATCAAATTTAGCTGATATTGTTACAGGAGGAAATTTAGATAGAGTTACAGAGAAAGGAATATGCAAGCAACAAAAGGGAAGGAAGTCATGGAGTGAGGCTTCAGAAGAAACCAGTCCTATTAGTGTCTCTCTCAGACCTGCAGCCTGTCAGCTGTCAGAAATAAAGTACTTCGGAAGCTCCTCGGTGTGGCGCACTTTGCCATGGTGGCCAAGACAAACTTCATACAAAGTATATGCACACATACAAACACAAATAATCCTGTGACAGCATCCATGTGAGTTTGTAAGAGCAAGAGCAGTGTGGGAAGTTTGGACCTTGTCAGGTTGCAAGGAGAAGGAGGTCTCCATGAAGAATGACTGATAGGTGAGAAAAATCAAGATATGTCATGCACAGCTGGGACAGAGAAAGTTTGATGCTCTCATTCCAGGAAAATTCAGTAGTACTCCTATCATAAAATTGAACTAATAGAAAGATAAAATTTAATTTTAACACATTACCCAAGTATACAATAAGCAATATTCATAGTGTTAAACAAACTGTTTATTGATCTTCAGTATTCAGAATCACTCCATAAATAAGTATTATTAATAGATAGTAGATAAAACTTCAGAAGGAATAGTACCAAGGTTGGCAACTATGAAAATGAAAATACCATCAAAATGTACTGAGAAATATATAAGAGAGATCTATGTTTGGCAGGGTCAGCACACAAATACACTTAATTTAGGAAGCAAGAAGAGGAGATGCCCTTGATTATTAGATAGATAGATAGATAGATAGATAGATAGATAGATAGATAGATATGGACAGATACAGATAGATAGAAAAATAGAAGATAGACAGACAGAGACTAGCCAGTAGTAGACTAAGAAATGGAGATCTCAGAGCTGACTCTGAAAGAAGTGGGTAATTCAGTGTCCAGGTGTATTACACTCATTATAAAATTAAGTCTGTGCAATCAGTAGTCACAGGATGGCTAAGAACACGGGATGCAGGGTCATGTAAGTGAGATAAATACCAGCAGCAGGTTATTAGCCAGTGCCCAAAAGCTACAGAAAGGAAAACATACTATTTAAAGATCTGGGGATGTTCTTTAGAGATTTGGCAGTGACCTGGAGAATAAAATAATATGAGAAATATGTGATAGTCATTGCCTCTGATAACAGGAGGAATTGTGGCAACATTTAAGGAGGAGAGAGCAACATTCAAGTAGACACTCAATTGTATTTCTAGATTTTTACCTTTATGGTTAATTTCAATGATAATAAAATGATAGGAGAGATTTAACAGTTGGATAAGTACCTACTTTTCCCACCATCATTAATTGGGAAAATTTGTACAAATTTTCATTGTTAGGGGATAACTTAATCTCCAGACAGCCTATGCCCTGAAATCCCAGATAGCTAACATTTTCTAGTACCTAGAATTTATAGACTTCCCATTCTAGTACCTAGAATTCAGACTTCCCTTTGCTGAATAAAATGTACTGTACACACATACTTGGGGAATTAAATGACAAAAGCAGTAGCAAGTGGCAAGAAGCATTTGATGGGAATCTCTAACGTTTTGCCTAAGGTTTTGAGATTAATCCAATATGTATTAAAAATAAAGCCTTTGTGTTATTGCATATAATTTTTAGTTTAGAAATTAATGTGGCCAGCTAAGTTATGCCAACCTAAGTTTAGAAGATAAATTATGGATTTTGGAATAAAAACAATGGAGAAGAATCAGAAGAATATTGTACAAATTAATTTAAATTTGCATCAAACCAGAAACATATAATTTGCAAATGGTGAGGCTTCTGTGTCCTTTGGTGCAACATTAATGCGAGGAAAAAACCCTCATCCTTACTTCATTAAGTACTAGCTTTGTTATCTGTGGAATTAAGACTAAAATAGTTCTTTTACTGGGAGTTTAAAGACATCTGCATTCAAAACTACATATATATCTTTTGCACAGTGACAACCTAATAGATTTTTTAAAACTACACACCTACTGCCATAGTCAGTATAAAGTGATCTCAATTGTGAGTAGGTCTAATACACATTCTGGTAAAATGACAACACATTTAGTGGCTTAAAGTATATCAGCCATATCTCCATCAGGTCTCTGGACCCCACAGTTTATAATAGGCTTCATGAATCAAATCAGGGTGTTCCTAAGCTACATTACCCCTGCAAGCTCCAGGGGAGGAATCCTTGCTTGTATTTTGTTTTGATTTTAGCATCCATGTACCTTGGCCGGGCAATGCTGTCATTCCAACCTGAGCTCTGTCACCACAGCTACTAGTCTACCTCTGTGCTTCCTTCTCATTTCAAGGACTTTTGTGATGACTCTGGTTCACAGAGATATGCTGCACAATCTCCTCCTCTCAGATCATAATTTGGTCAAATATTAAACACTTTCATCCTATTCGTGTGATGAGACTCTAGTCATCACTGTTCTTAGCACAGAGGTGTTATCTTATTGATAATTCTCATCTCTGGTGTCTATAGATAAGAAGCCTTTTCCTGACCCTAACACTATATGTGTACATACTGCAGAGAACAAGACGAACATATGGGTAAACATTAGGGACTAAAAGCATGCATAAAGA